TCACATGGATCCTATGGGTCCCATTGGGGTCCTATGCGTCCTATGGGTCCTATGGGTCCTGTGGGTCCTATGGGGTTTCTATGGGGTTTTGGAGCATCCCATTGGTCCTATGGGTGCTGTTGGGGTCTTATGGGTCCCATGGGTCTCACATGGGTCCTATGGGTCCCATTGGGGTCCTATGGGTCCTATGGGTCTTAAATGGGTCCTATGGGTTCTATGGGGGTCCTATGGGTCTCACATGGGTCCTATGGGTCCTATTGGGGTCCTCTGGGGTTTCTATGGGGTTTCTATGGGGTTTTGGAGTATCCCATGGGCCCTATGGGTCCTATGGGATTTAAGGTCCCTCACAGGATTTCGGGTACCCCCCATTTCCCCCCCCCCCAAGGTGATCATGGCCACCAACCGGGCGGACACCCTGGACCCGGCCCTGCTCCGGCCGGGCCGTTTGGACCGGAAAATCGAGTTCCCGCTGCCCGACCGGCGCCAGAAGCGCCTCATCTTCTCCACCATCACCAGCAAGATGAACCTGTCCGAGGAGGTGGACCTGGAGGACTGTATCCCGCTCCGGGGGGGACCTTTGGGGACCTTTGGGGTCGTTTGGGGACGCCCCGGGGCCGTGGGGCCACCTTCTGGGGATGGGGATCCCGTGGGGATGTTGGGGACCCAATGGGGACATCGGGGAGGGTCAGGGACCCAATGGGGACATTGGAGACCCCAGGGAACACTGAGGAACCAATGGGGGCATTGGGGACCCCAGGGGACGTCAGGGAGGGTCAAGAACCCATGGGGACATCGGGGACCCAATGGGGACATCAGGGACCCCAGGGGACATTGGGGACCCCAAAATACATTGAGGACCCCATGGGGAACCAATGGGGACATCGGGGACCCCAAGGGACATTGAGGACCCCAAGGGGACATCAAGGACCCTATGGGGACATCGGGGACCCCAAGGGTTATTGAGGACCCCAAGGGACGTCAGGGACCTCATGGGACATTTGGGACCCAATGGGGACATCAGGGAGGGTCAAGGACCCCATGGCGACATCGGGGACCCCAGGGGACACTGAGGAACCAATGGGGACATTGAGGACCCCATGGGGACATCGGGGACCCCAAGGGACATCGGGGATCCCATGGGGACATTGGAGACCCCAGGGGACACTGAGGAACCAGTGGGGACATTGAGGACCCCAATGGACGTCAAGGATCCTATGGGGACATCGGGGACCCCAGGGGACATTGAGGACCCCATGGGGACATCGGGGACCCCAAGGGACATCGGGGATCCCATGGGGACATTGGAGACCCCAGGGGACACTGAGGAACCAGTGGGGACATTGAGGACCCCAATGGACGTCAAGGATCCTATGGGGACATCGGGGACCCCAGGGGACATTGAGGACCCCATGGGGACATTGGGGACCTCAGGGGACACTGAGGAACCAATGGGGACATTGAGGACCCCAAGGGACATTGAGGACCCAATGGGGACATTTGGGACCCTATGGGACACCAGGGAGGGTCAAGGACCCCCATGGACATTGAGGACCCCATGGGGACGTTGGGGACCCCAGGGGACATCAGGGAGGGTGAAGGACTCAATGGGGACATTGGGGACGTTTGGGGATGCCCCGGGGCTGTGGGGGCACCTCCTGGGGACGGGGATCCCGTGGGGATGTTGGGGACCCCATGGGGACATCGGGGAGGGCCAAGGACCCAGTGGACGTTGAAGACCCCATGGGGACATTGGGGACCCCAGGGGACACTGAGGAACCAGTGGGGACATTGAGGACCCCAGGGGACATCAAGGACCCCAGGGGACATTGGAGACCCCAAGGGACATTGAGGACCCAATGGGACACCAGGGAGGGTCAAGGAGCCATGGGGACATCAGGGACCTCATGGGGACGTTGGAGACCCCAAGGGACATCAAGGACCCCAGGGGACATTGGGGACCCCAAGGGACATCAAGGACCCCAGGGGACATTGGGGACCCCAAGGGACATCAAGGACCCCAGGGGACATTGGGGACCCCAAGGGACATCAAGGACCCCAGGGGACATTGGGGACCCCAAGGGACATTGAGGACCCAATGGGGACATTTGGGACCTCATGGGACATTGGGGACCCCAAGGGGACATCGGGGACCTCATGGGGACATTGGGGACCCCATGGGACGTCAAGGACCCTATGGGGACATCAAGGATCCTATGGGGACATTGAGGACCCCATGGGGATGTTGAGGACCCCAAGGGACATCAAGGACCCAATGGGGACATTGGGGACCCTAGGGGACACTGAGGAACCAATGGGGACATCGGGGACCCCAAGGGACATTGAGGACCCCAAGGGGACATCAAGGACCCCATGGGGACATTGGGGACCCCAGGGGACACTGAGGAACCAGTGGGGACATTGGGGACCCTATGGGACACCAGGGAGGGTCAAGGACCCATGGGGACATCAGGGACCTCATGGGACATTGGGGACCCCATGGGGACATCGGGGAGGGGCAAGGACCCCCATGGACATTGGGGACCCCAGGGGACACTGAGGAACCAATGGGGACATCGAGGACCCCATGGGGACATTGGGGACCCCAAGGGACATCGGGGACCCCAGGGGACACTGGGGACCCAATGAGGACATCAAGGACCCCATGGGGACATTGGGGACCCCAAGGGCCATCAAGGACCCGATGGGGACATCAGTGACCCCCAAAAGGACATCGGGGACCCCAAGGGAGGGGCTGGGGGCTGGTTTGGGGACACGGAGGAGGGGACGTTTCCTTCACCGCCACCTCCCCAAGATGTGGCACGGCCGGACAAGATTTCGGGGGCCGACATCAACTCCATTTGCCAGGAGGTGGGTGACAGCGGGGACACGGGGACATGGTGGCCATGACCGGGGTTGACCTGGTGGCCAATCCCAT